ATGCAAGAAAGCCAAGTCTAGGGCCCAACCTCATGGACTTTACACCCCTTTGCCCATTCCTACTTCACCTTGGGTAGACATATCCATGGATTTTGTACTTGGGCTTCCAAGGACAAAGCGAGGAATGGATTCCATCTTCGTGGTAGTGGATCGATTTTCAAAAATGGCCCATTTTATCCCCTGCCACAAGACTGGACGATGCATGCTTAGTTGCAAATCTCTTCTTTAGAGAAGTTGTTAGATTGCATGGGATACCTAGGACAATTGTATCCGATAGAGATACTAAGTTCTTGAGTCACTTCGGAGGACACTATGGGGAAAACTTGGAACTAAACTCCTTTTTTCAACCACTTGCCACCCACAAACAGATGGTCAAACGAAGTAGTGAATAGAACTTTGTCTCAACTATTAAGATGCATGATTTCTAGGAACCCCAAAGAGTGGGAGAACATAATTCCCCATGTAGAGTTTGCATATAACCGGGTGGTTCATTCCACTACCTCCCACTCTCCTTTTGAGGTCGTTTATGGATTTAATCCCTTAACATCTTTAGACCTCCTTCCTCTACCTACCCATGAAGCTTGGACTAGCCAAGATGGTCTAGAAAAATCTAAGATCATTAAGGACCCGCATGCCCGAGTTAAAGCCAACATCGAGAGGAAAGTAGGTCAAGTATAGCAAGTATGCCAATAAGGGAAGAAAGGAAGTCATCTTCCAACCTGGAGATTGGGTATGGCTTCACTTGAGAAAGGAGCGGTTCCCGACTCAAAGGAAGTCCAAACTTAACCCCCGAGGTGACGGACCTTTCCAAATAGTTAGGAAAATAAACAATAATGCATATGAGTTAGATCTACCAGCTCGAATATAACATTAGTAACTTTTTTAATGTTGGTGATCTTACTCCTTTTGATGCAAGTTTTGCAAATTCGTGGACGAATTCTCTCCAGGGAGGAGAGGATGATGAGTCCCTAGTTGCCCCGGAGGCGGGAGAGGTCATTCCTAGGAGGATTACTAGAAGCATGACTAGAAGGGAGGCCTCCTCTTTACCTTCCATTTTGAATTTACTTAGTATCTTTACTTAGTATTTTCTTTTTCTAAGTTTTTCACTTATTTTCGCTTTCTTTTTGTAGGCTCACTTTTTGCACCTCCTTTTTGAAGAATACCACCTTTTTTTTTGGTGGAAAAGAAGCCTTGGATCCATAGGATACATGCATGGGCAGCCCAAAGGTGTAGGACACTCCTTTTCATGTCCTACACCCCTTTTTGGAGAGGAAGAAGCTTAGGATGCGGGATTGGTTGGCTTGGGACAACCCAAAAGGAAACACACCTCTTTTTTCATGTTCTCCACACCCTTAGAGGTATTTTTGGTGGGCTAGAACGAATTTAACATATTTGGACCATGGGGACTCTAGCCTTTAGGTTTAGGTTAAGTTTATGTCTCCTTTTATAATTCCATCTAGGTCCCTCCCCTAAAAGCCTATAAATAGAGGCTTCCCCTCATGTAATTAGGTTGAACATTTATGAAAAGTTTGTGAGGTTTCTTAGAGTGTTCCATCTCTTTGAGTGTCTTATCTTGAACCTTGGTTCAAGTGGCGGCAACCACCACTTATCTAGGGTGGCTCATCCCCCTAGTGGCGTGCCAACACTCCACCACCACCATAATTCTTTTCTCTTCCTCTTTTCTTCTTTATTTCTTCCCTTCATTTATTTATGCAAGGGGCTGGTCCAATTTTCCAGCCCTTGTCTTTATTCGTTTCTAGTTTCATTCCATCTCTTTCTCCCTCCATAATCCTTGGAAATGAACCTTCACATCTAGATAGGCAACTATCTTAATGTCCAGTGGAAATTTTCCTTGGGTTTGCTTACTTTATTGCTTAAAATTCTGCACCTTATCTTCTTACAATTCTGCACCTTACTTTATTTTTACATCACAGCCTTTCATAGGCAATCTTCTGAATATGTGTATCACCATTTGGGAGGAAAACAGGAACAACATATTTGATTGGCTTGGCTATATCCACGTCCACCAACACTCTAGCAAAGCTAACACGGTCCGCATTTGCTGTGAGCTTATTCGTGTAGATAGGTCTTCCAATCTCTGAGAAAATTTTGTCAAGGGCTTTTGCTGACCAGAGATTGAGAGGGAGACCCTCCAATTGCACCCAAACGGGAAATACAGTGAGTTCTTTATCATCAAAGCCAAAAAATTCTGGCATTTTCTTCAATAGTAAAGGCTTCCCATACACCATGTAAGGACCCGCTTGTAGCACATTAATCATATCGTTTTCACTATCAAAAGAAAAAATAATCCAGTCACTCTTATGAAAAGAGTATCTATATGTCACTTCCCAGGACTTACAAAGTCCTAAGAAGGCACTCATTCCTAGAAATTTCCCTGCAAAATAGCCCACTTAAGAGTACTTGAACTTACTTTGCGTTACGATATCTTCCTCTTCAATGATAGCTCCTCCTTTTCCAGTTGGCATATTTGCTTGAAGCTTCAATCCATTTGCATGCTTCCTATTGTTGGCAAAAATATTTGACCATGGAGCTTTGTTAGCAGTCTTATCTTCTTTTTTCGGAACTGAGGTGTTTTGGGCAGAATCTTCTTTGGGGTTAACTGTGTCCTCATCACCTAGTGTGTAGGAAATACTTAGAGATTTCAACGGCGGAAAATCTGCAGCAGCAAACCCTTGGGCAAACAAATCCGTTTGCGGATCTACACGGTTGCCCTTAACTTCTGCAGCTTTAGAGGCAATCCCCTCTGCAACTTCGCTATCTTTGCCTAAGGATTCTGCAGTAGCATGAGACATTGCAAATTTCGCAGATTTTCCGTCGACAGAGTTTGCCTGCGGACCCGTAACATTATCCTCTCCAAAAATTACTCTTCTTGTTTCTGTATGTGGAACAATCTTGTAGGAAGACGCGGAAGTAGAGCTCCCAGTAGATAGCTCCAAATCTGTAGCAGAAAAAGCAGAAGGAATCGCTACTGAAGAACCCAAAAATAAGGGTTTTCCTGTAGCAGGTACTGTAGTTTCGTCATTTAGGGTTTTTGAAACCCCTTCAAGTTCAGAAATTGCATATGGTTTTGCAGTTGAATTCAAAGCCTTTTTCTCCGAAGCAGTAACCATGCTAGTCAGAACTTCCCCAGACTGAGTTAAGGTTGGATATGTGAAGGGTTTGTCTTTCTTCGTAAGTTTCACTGCCACAACTGATGCTTCTGTAACCTTTTTTGATTTCTTCCCCGTGATGGGACAAGAGAAAAGAGAAGAGGAAAATGAAACAAACCTAATTCGTATGGATAAATAGGTTCAGAAACATGATAAGATAAGAAAGGAATCAAGAGATCAGTTAACGCAATAGAAGGGAAATGAGGCTACTGGAAGCAACCTTGAGAGCTTCTCTCTCTAACGACTAGATTGAGATGAAGACCATATTTCATGATTGATCCAAATGTAATCTGGGCTCACACTCTGAATCAAGGGCTAAATGTTGGAATTTTCATAAAAACAAAATTGAAAGTATGACTTAGGTTAAATATTAAGTACTATCTAAATTAACATATTTGTGAGAGATTAGGGATCTTTGATTTTTTTATTTTTTTTAGGAATTTGTGTCCACCTTATTAGGAATTATTATGGTAGATATGAGATCAAAATATTTCTAATTTGTGGATGAAACAGATAGAATTTAAACAATTAATCAGTATAAGAAAAACTGGTTAGAGCTTAGCTTGATATATAGAAGAACATAGGGTAGCCATGCCTCCCCACCCATTACTCTTATGGAAAGAAATGGTGAAGGAGAAACTTTTCTTATAACAAAAAACAATAAAAGAAGTGGTAATGGGAAAGGAAAGAGACGTAGGAAAGTAGCAACTGGGATTGCGAGAGATGAATTTGCGTCAAAGAAAATGACTCACTCTTCTTGCTGTTGCGGTTAGTTAATTTGTCATTTGATTTTTCTCATGTCATTTCATTATCAAATAAAAAAACTTCATCTTACGCCTTTATAAACTCATTGCGTAACTTGCGCTATACTTCCCCATTGTCTCATCTTCTCCACATTTTTCACTCCCCTTTCTCTCTCCTCTCATTAATTACCCATTCTTACTCTCTACTCTATTTCCCATCCTTTTTATCAATTCAAGACAACCTACCAAAATCATTAACTATCCCTAAAATGTGTAATTAAAATGGACATATTTATTCCTTCTTCTTTGCATCAAACATTAGCATTGCTGGGTAAAGGGGTACCTCATGATTCATGTTTGTGAATTGTCCTATTCTACATTTTTCAACACCAAAAAAAAATAAAAAATCATCCTTGCCGTGTATGTGTAGCCATTGCCATGACCACATTTTCAAACCATTTATCACAATAAAAACCGCAGCTACGAATTCGGTGAAAAGGGGGAGAAATTAAATTAACTAAAACGACTAATCACCAAAAACCTCATAATCATTCTTCTTGAAAGATTTGAGTGGTTAAAAAAAAAAAACAGGTTTTTTTACAACCGTATTATTAATTCATGTTCTCCGTTTCTTCGACAAACCTAATAAGTTGTAAGTACTCTCTCATGTACATTAAAAGTATGGCCTAGGCCGAAATGTTTTGCCAATAAAAGTAACATTCTCCCGGATCAATAAACATTTATATTTATTGTTTCTCCAACTTCACCCTCTCTTACTAGACATTAGTAATGAATATTGAATTGCTCAAAATTAAATACAAATATTTCAAATAAAATAAAGAAAGTTTGACTGTATCTTTCGTTGCGCCCGAAAGAACCCTAGAAATGGAGTGCAGAAAGGAAGTAACAGTAACAGCCAAATCGGAAAATTACAAAGAAACATTGCGTCGTCGATAATTGCAAGAAGAGTATGTTGAGTTCAATACCTCAACAATCAACAACATACATACACCCCAAATGAAAATAAATCAAGAAGAAAAAAAGTGTTTATAAAAAAAAAAAAAAAACAAACTGTAAATACGTGTTTTTACAATTTATAAATGATAAGAAAACAGGGTAACACAGCATGCGGGTCGAACACTAATAACTCGCCGTTGTCCCCACTGACCGAGTCGAACCCAACTCGTCCATCCAACAACGATTCCATAAAACCGTTTTGCTTGGAGACCCGACCCGCTACGACCCGGCACACCAGCATGGCCCTTCTGCCCCTGCCTCCGCCGGAGCTTTCATGCGCGTCGCCGCTACCTGCAAATGTGCAGATCGCCGAGCCTTTCCCGCCGGGGAAGGATAACGTGCAAGCTCCGCCGTAAGGGCCGCCGCTGGAGGTGGGACCCAAGCAGTGAAACCTCATTACCTCATTCCCATCGGCCACGCATCGCGCATTCTCCTCGTAATCATGGGCCGGTCCAGTACCGCTCCCGGCCCGGCCCTTGACCGTCTCGCGATACTCCTCGAAACGAGAGACCGTTCGTGGGCCGTTGTGGACTTTAAATATCATCTCGACGCGGCCCGAGAAGGGCTTGGGTCCCCAGCTGGTGTGGAAGATTATCTCGACGACGTTCCTCGAAGGATGCCCCTCGGTGAGTTCCGTGAGAGAAGGGAAGCGAGGGTCGGCGTGGCGCGTGGCCGTGGCGGTGACGCTCCGCGAGCGGTTGATAGTGGTCTCGAAATCGGGCTTGACGGCGGATGAAGGGTATCTGGAGCTGGGGTGTTTCTGGAGAGGCTTTTCGGGGTTGGGTTTGTGTCTGGGCTTGGGCCTGGGCTTGGTTGTGTCGACGACGACGTCTTTGATGTTTTGGACGCTCTTTCTGCAACTGGCACTGGGAATGAAGTGTTTAGAGTTTGGGTGGTACACGTCTTCGTAAGCCCTTGACTTGCATTGCAATGACTTCATCCACCCACTCGCCATTGCCCGAAGGAGAAGAAGACGCTAACTTTGTAGTAATATCTTGTCTTGTCTCTCTGTTTTATCTTAAAGAGTATAAATTTTGGTAGCTCTGGGTTTTGTTTGGAGTTGTAGGAAATGGGGTCTCATTGTGTTATGTTGTGGCCGTACAACAGAGAAGGAATGAACGAGAGGAGAAGTGGATCAGACATGGCGCCATAATAAATGGATTTTACTCTCCCCTCTGCGGAATCACCTTTTTGCCCTTCTCTGTTTCTCTTAATTACCCACGTGGCCTCTGTCTCCTTCCTTGGTAAAACAACAAATTCCATTAATTCCCAAAACAAAAACCTCATCATAATTCAGAGGTTTCATTTGGTGTTACGTACCAACGTGAATCCTGTCCACGCACGCATACCGTCACAATATTCAAGAACACTGCATAATATTCACCATTTCAAACTTCTCAATTAAATAATACTACTAACCACTTCCATTTTCAAACATCTCAAGACTTTTTATATTATTATTTTATTTCAACTAATTTCAAAATTATTAATTATACATGCACAATTAAAGCGGTGCTTGTATTAATTATAAATGTGATTTTTACGACTACTCCTACTAATTAAGGAATTAATAAATTGTAAAATTCACCTTTTATTTCTGACCAGTATTCCACCAAGTACAGTACTGCTGGTAATACTAATAAATAAGATAAATTAAAATGTCCTAAAATACGATAAACGATTTTAATAACATGGTTGAATCTATTATTTTTCAATCCATGCATTATAACTTTAAATGCTTTTAATTACTTTAACAAAAAAATTAGTAAAACTCACTCAGATATTAAGATTTTTTTTCAATGTGCTATTTGGGAGAGTAAATTTTTGTCCTTAATATAACCATTGTTGACCATGCGTGATAAGAAAAACAAGTTTGAATGAAACAAGGTAACAGTTATGAGTGAAAGTTGCAGCATTTGGATAGCTTGATTTATAATACTGCTGAATACTCAAGTGGTTTGATTAGGGTTTAGGGTGATACATAATTTGGTTTTGGGTAATTTCAAAGGGAATACTCCTCTTTTCTACTGTAAATCATGGGTCAGCGTCAGGACTGGTTGAAGACTATTATGATTTATTGTGGGAGTCAAGGCCTGAAAAAGCTACCCCTGTTCCTTCTTTGCACCCTCTCCCTCTCATAAATACACTACCTCTTTTTCCTCACGCTTTCTCATTCTTTATCTATTTTCTCACTCATCTTTCTTGTGTTAAAAGAATAAAATATTATTATTTTTTACTTTAATTCAAAATATTTCTTAAAGAAATAACTAAAGACTGTCTTAATATATCTCTGACCTGGTTTTCAATAACATTTTGTATCATTACATTCTTAACCTGCTAACCCAAGTAAATAAATCAAACTAGGACCTTTAAGAAAAAATTTGACAAGCTTCTTCCAATAATGTACTGCATTAATCTCTTTAAGCAGAAAGGTATTTGCTAAACAAGTCAAAATTAAGGGAATGAAAAAAATCTTGTTAATTTGAAGAATAACTCTAAAAGTAGTTAAAATGGTCTACACCATTAACTAAATTTATTCGTTCTCGTGAAAAGATGAAAGAATCTTGTACAAATCATGGGGGTAATCTAATAGTAATGTCCAACAAAGTTAATAACACAAAATTGTATTAAAAGGTATTGATGACTTTTTCAAGAAGAAAACGGTTTACTTTTAATTTCTTAACTGGTACTAACTAGATAGCACTTGCCATGTTCGATTCATTTGTGTTTCTTGGCTTTTACAATAACCCAACTCATGTTCAGATGGTGAGTAGCTGGCTAATCAAATCACATTCTAAAAAAAAGAAAAAACAAGTTTTTGGCCTTTCTATCTAAGAATGCTTGGTGAAGGCATTGCTGTTGCTTCTTCAAATCAAAGCGACCATTGCTGAGATGCAGTGTTGGATGTTCATTTTGAATATTCAAAACAAGACCATAGAGTAGTTAGTGTAAGAGGGGATGAGAAATGGAGATAAATTATGGATTTTGACACCCGGGGTAGATGGGTCAATGCAATGAAGTTTTTAAGTGATAAAAAAAATGCACTAGGTAAGAGCGTGATGGTAGATAGATAGATAGACAGATACTAGGAATTTAAAAAAGAAGAGGGCATGGGAGTTTGGAGTGGAATAGTTGGTGTGGTGTGGGGAATAGAAGAATGGAAACTGGCACAGGGAGAGTTTTGAGGGAGAAAGCATCTAAAAAAGCACTGAAATTTAAACTAATAAAACGACAGGGTTTCTCCACTTTGTTGCAAATCATAGTATTTAAGAATGCCTAACCTTGGCATTGTTTATTGTAGGTACCAAGTCGCTGTTCTGTTACTAACAGAAGGAGACAATCATATGGAGATAATCGAAGCTTATCTATAATTTAATCAATTTTTAATTCCACACACTGCTACCACACACGAGGATTTCCATCTCTATTCCAACACCCCAAATCAAACCTAGTCAAAAAGTTACTCGCAATTTTTTTTTTAATTCTAAAATAAATAATATTTTAAATATGATAATTAATATTAACGATATTATGGTAATTGTATATAAAATTAATATTTTAGAATTAAAATTGTCTCCTAAAATAAAAAGTTGGGAAGTGGGAATGCAAAATGCGTTGGCAGGCTTTGTTGTCAAGCCTGCAAAATCCATTCCACCGGGAAACGCGTTGCTCTTCGCCTATCTTCAATTTATATCGCTCTCTGATCAACGTCAACCTTCAAATATGTACGTTCTTTCCGCATACTCTAACAACCATCACCTACGATACAAACACTTTAGAATCATTCAAAATCACGTTCCCATGTTTTTTTATTATATCTCTTATTATTGAGAATATTAGATTTGAATATTTGTTATCATTCGTCTTTTCTTTTTTCTGACAAAATCATTGCATGCCGTATTAATATTCAAAGCTTCTGCGAGCAAATTCAAATGACTTAATTAATGACAGAGAAAAGACAATGAGTTTGGATAGGTCACTTCTGCTACCACTGGAACAATAAATTGAATTATAAGAAAAATTAAATACTACTCCTACTTCTGTTTTTCTTTTCCTTTTTATAACTAAACTAAACACTTTTATTTTTACGTATATTTTCTAACTATAAAATAGGTTAGAACATTAAAAGTTTAAAAGATAAATTAGGTTCGAAAAAAATTAATTTAAATTAAATTATACTAATTTTAATCATATTCGTATAATTCAATGTCTAAATAAGTTTATTTTTCTTAAATATTTGATATTTAAGGTTAGATTACAGAGACTAAAATGTATATTAATTTTTATTATTTTTAATAAATTTATTAGTATTTTAATAATATTAATTTCCATCTTAAGAATTTGTTATACTATAATAAATATAATTAAAAAGATAAATATATAATTGATAAAAGAGATAATTAATGTAATTTTAATCTTTATAACCCAACTACATTGTCAAACAATTTTTCTTAACGAAAAATCATATATCTTGAAAAAATATATATATTAGACTATATTGTAAGTTTACGTGTAAATTCATTTTATTAAATAATAATTATTTTAAAAACAACATTATTATATTAAAACAAATATTTATTATAATAATATGAAAATTGATTCTTATTTCTTAACTAAAAGTTTGAGTCTTATTTTTTATGTTTAAAATTGTCTTTTTTTATTAAGTAAAGTGAATAATAAAAATAAAGAATAATTTTTAAAAGTTTTATTTATATTAAATCGACTTTTTTTTCAATTAAAAGACATTTACTTAAATAAAAGATAAAGACTTATAATTCATCTTTATAATTGTTTTTTTTATAATATAAGGAATAAGATAAATTATCGTTGTATTATTACAAAAAAAAACTAAAAGATGATTAAAAGAAATTAAACAGGAGAAGAAGGCATTTGTTAGTAAAGCAAGAAGCAACGAGAAAGGTGGAAGTGTTTTTAATTGGGAGTGACAGTTGCAAGTGGGACGGTTAGAAGAGTGGCCAAACAAATCTAACATCGCTTTTGTGAAAAGAAACGCAAAATCTTCCTAATCATATTGTCTTCTTCAAAAACCAGATTTTGCAAATTTTCAACAACTCTTAACTGCGGAAGTTCAATTCAGTAGTATCAGGACCCATTTTCTCACCAACTCATCAAATTCACTTCTTCAAAACCTCTTCAACACATAAACCACCACCTCAACAAATTCAAAAAGCGTAAAACACAACAACCCACCACCTCTTCCTCATCACTGCATCCACAGTACAATTATTTCACTTTTTAACAAAATCTCTCTGCTTTTTAAACTACACTAATTCTTCAAAATAAACCACACTTTTAAGTATCATTTAACACTACTACAAACGTAAGTTCTAGAAGGCTTTCAATGTCAATTGTTGAACCGACATTGTATCAGGTTGAAAGTCATAACTTTCAACGTCGGTTCTAATAAATCGACGTTGAAAATATGATTTTTTAAATTAATAATTTTTATTTATTTACAACCTCTTTACCCCTTTTATTTATCTAGATGTCTCCCCTCACTTTATATTATATTTTTTAGAAGTTTATTAATTTAGTAAGAGAATTGTCATTGGTAGGATTCAAACCCAGGACTTTAGAGTTAAGGTCGATACTCCAACCACGAAACTACTAGAATTTTCTCGATAATAACTTACAAATAAATTATATTTATATATAAATAAATATATATCCATGTAAATATATAAATACAAATATATTTATATATTTTGATATATTTATATAATAATATATTTATATGTTAGATGTGAAGGCACACTCAAAAGTGAAAGTGTGTGTCGAGTGAGTTTTCAAATTTTGATGTTAAATTTGTGAGCAAATATCTTTATATGAGTTTGTAATTTAATGACGTAATATAATCTTTATAATTTTATTTATATAATGATATAAAATAAATTTGGGAAACGCGTCATTCGCTCTTAAGCGAAAAATACCAATTTTCGCTCAAGCGAGGCTTGAGTGAGTGAATTTCCGTGAACTTTAACATATTTTCACTCAAGCGAGAGTCAATCCCACTTTTACCCTTAATCGAAAAATACCAATATAATTTATTTGTAAGTTATTATAAAAAAAGTATAGTAGTTTAGTGGTTGGGATATTAACTTTCAACTCTAAAATACTGGGTTCAAATGCTGTCAGTGACAATTTATTAACTTAAGTGAATTTTTGGTCGAAAAAAATAAAAATACTTTCCAGAAAGTATATACAAATAAATATATATTTACATGGATATATATTTATTTGTATATAAATATAATTTATTTGTAAGTTATTATTAGAAAATTATAATAGTTTAGTGGTTAGAGTATTAATTTTCAATTCTAAAATCTTGAGTTCGAATCCTCGCTAGTGATAATTTTCAAATTTAAGTGAATTTTTGGGTGAAAAAAAGACTTTCCACGTCGGTATGAACCGACGTGGAAAGTACTTTCTACGTCGGTTGACTAAAAGCCGACGTAGAATATGTCGGTTCATCCTGGAACCGACGTGAAAACTACTTTCTCCATCCATCGTGTTATTTATTTTTTAGCTCATTTTTTTATATTTTTAAACTTCAATAATTAAAATAAAAATATATAGTTTCATGCTTAAACATATTTATTTGTTTTAAACTTTAATTATATTATAATTTCTATTTAAAATTATTTTCTGCTTTTATAAATTTTAATTATGTAAAAAACGTTTCATTAGTTTCAAAGATAATTTTAAAAAAATCATTAACTTATGCAACAGCCAAATTTCTCAATTATTTATTATTATTATTATTGATTTAGGGACGACATATTTCATATTTATCTGAAAAGATAATATTATTTTGATTGTAAAATAAATTTTACATTCAATTTTTTTTATATGTAAAATATTATTTTTATTTATTTTTTCATATTTTTGTAGATTAATCTTTTTAAATGATAAAATTATATTTGAAGATTTACACTTAAAAATTTAGATTTTTTTGGATTTTCCAATTTAGAATATTTTAAAATATGTTGTCCGATTAGTGGTCTCATAAATTAGTAAGAGTGATATTTTCTTTTCTAATAAAATAAATATGAAGTAGAGGGAGAAAGTATAGGTGTAGGAGGAAGGAATATGTTATAGAAAAATGGGTCATCAGGCCCAACAAGGAAAAGGGAAGAACTAGGTAAAACCAACCCATAACATCTGAAAAAAAAAAAAAAAGAGTCACGACTTGGTGGATAAGATAAAGTCATAGAATTATATTTTTCAAAACAAAACTTATAAGTTGATTTCAAAGTATGACGTTTCTTTATTTAAATTTTTATTTACTAATAAATATTTTTATATTTAATGAGAATAATATGATTTTGATTCCTCGTTAATAATTAAAAAAAATTAACATTTTAAGAGGCTAAGACAATCTTTTTTTATGAAATAAAATAGAAGGTCAACTTTTGAGAACCAAAAGTTCATTCAAGTGTTTTAAATTTAATAGACCGATATTCATATGCGTCGAGGATTGAAATTATTAGCAATGATTAGAAACATAAATAATTGGTAAAAATATATATATATATATACAGAATCCATGTTCCGAGGACAAAGTATTCGATGATGAAGGAGTGATTTTCGGATCCATGGGTTACAATACAATTCATACCAAAGACCATCATTATTTTTTTCTTCTTCTTAAAGAGATCGATTAAAAATACAAAACTTCTGATTAGGAAAAATAAATATAAATCTTCATTGGGATTTATTTAATCTCATAAACATTAGCATACTAATTTAATATCTTAAAAGATATTTTTTTCTTTTAAAATGATTAAAATTATAATAAAAAATTATTCAAAAATTATAAATTAAAATTTTATTACAATAAATAATTATGACAATACAGATTATTGATATTTTGGAAGATGTTAAATTTCATATGACATAAAAAAAAATGAAAGTGATAGATTAAAAAATATAAGCAATTGGAAAATTAAGTTTAAGTGGATATCTATGTCATTCAAAATTCAAAATTTTAATTTAATGTAGTTAGATTAGATTGGATTCCTTTTAAGAGCAATAAAAAAAAGCTAATATTTCTTATTTTTCTCTTTCCTCCTCACTTATTCTTGTAATTAAATAATTATATTAATATTTAATAAAAAATTTAAAATCAATAATAAAACTTAAAAAATATTAATTAATTGTTTTAAATTATGATAATAATAAATAATTTTATTTATTTTGACAATAAATAATTAATTTAAATTATTTTATCATAATAAATAATTATTCATCTAATTAAATAATTATCAAATATTTATAAGTTAAATATTTTTTTTAATAATTTAATCTAATTGTAATTAGATTAAATTATAATATTTAATTAGATAAGATAATTTTAAAAAAATATTTATTACTAAGTTATTTTAAAATAAATATTTAATTATTTATTAATAATTATAACATATCAATAATATTTGTACCATTTTAAATTTATTATATAATATTTTTTAAATATAATATATTGAATTATAATATTTTTATATCATTTAAATTTTTTTATTTTTTAGTCATAATAAAAGACTCATTCTCAAATTTTAATATATTATTTTTAATTGGAAAATAAAATAAAGTAAGAGAATAACTAAAGAAAGAAAAAGAGAAAATAAATACTGAACAAACACCCAAAAAAGAAGAAGAAATAAACGAAGAAAAAAATTAAATAAAAAAAGAAAAATAACTGTACGATGTTAAATAAATTTATTTTTCTGATTAAAAAAATTCAACTTAATTATTTTTCTTAAATATATTATTTATGGAATTCATTCATATTCTATAATAATTAGTAAATAAAAAATGTTTCAGAAATTATTCGATATTAATATAAATATTACAAGAATTAGAAAATTTATCATATATGATTTATAATTAAATGACACTTTTAAAATGTATTCCACAAGTACACGCATTTTTTTAAATTGTAATTGTTTTTGAGTTAGATTTTGTTCACTAAGTTTCAAAAACAATATTTTTTTTATATTTAAAAACAACTTGTAGTAACAAGATTGAAATAAATCAACTCAAAATCACCACGTTAAAAAAACTTGTTTTTACGTAATTATAAAATTATTTATTAAAGTGCATGGAGTTTAAAATTTAGGATTTAGATTAACAAATGCTTAGAAAGGTTCTTCCTCCATTTTAGAAATTTGCTACGACAAACATGATATGGTTTCAAGTCTTTTCCTTCACCCTCCCTCTCAGTTTTGTCTGTACTTCCAACCATTTGCTTTCTCTTTCTCTCTCACGTCTTATTTTTTCCGTGGGGAAAACGACATAAGATCACTGTTTGTGATACTCAATTAATTTCCAATATGTTTGGTATAAGTTTTTTTTTTTAATACAAAACTTTTTTTTTAAGTCTAGACATAAAACTAATTCTTCAACATCATATTAAACATGTGCAGTTTTTTTTTTAATTATGTTAACTAGTATTTTGCTATGATTTTATATCGACGTGGGTTGTTTCATATTTTAAATGTAATTTTAAGAATTAATAGATCGATAGTTTTCATATTTCAAACATCCTAAACGATTTCTTATTTTTTTTTTCCTTATTTTCCAAGAACTCTGTATTACAAAACGTGAAAAAAAAGCAGCTAAGAAAGTAAGTGTAACAGTGAGACACAGAAAAATCTGACGCAACGTAATTTCTTTTGGCATCATTGATATAGAATGTGATTGATGTGGGGCTTTTGTCCTTCTAATAATTTAGGTTCTTGTGGAACACATTCAAACTTGTGCAATCCAACGGGATTGGTTCTGTTTTGTATTTGTTTTTGACAGAAAAATTCTTGATGTTTTTGAGCTTTGGCATTCCTTATAAGCAGGCAGAAACTATTGCAAACCTCTGTGACTAAACATGTTGCAAATAGTCGCTCTGAACTCTTCAGGAAACCCTTCTGTTATCATTGCTTAAATCTTGTGTTTCTTGTTTATTCTTTTGGCGTTCGATTATCTGCGGTTCCTACTCTCCACAGAGTTACCGACACATAATTGTTAAGATGTATTATAGCATCCAGGTACAGCAGAGCTGTATAAAATTTCTTTTCAGCTTTTGTCTCATTTTCCATCGAACAGCAGGATTTGTGCTGACAAAAGCAAATGAGCAGTTGTTCATGCTATTACCATGTGCAGATTTGTTGCTGCTGTCAGATTTTTTGCAGAGCCACTGATGCAGAAAACCCTTTGGTCTATTATCTCTGTCTGAAGAATTGAAATCCGTTATCATATTTCTGAGAACTACTGCCAGGTGCTGGCGTTGATTTATGTCTATCATGTCTCGGATGATACTGTGTCAGTTCAGGTGGGTAGTGCAAAGTGTTTCAATTCATAAAGTGAAAACCAGTAAAATACTTTTTTAAAATGTTAAAAATGATTTAATCTTTTGAGGCATGTTATAATATGATGAGTCCACTTAGCAACACAGCATGTGCCTAGTGCCACCCAATCAAGTTGGATCTATGCTCAAATTCTGACCCTATCAATGGAATAATTAAAATTATTTCGATTAGTTCGTTAGAATGTTCTAATCTATCTTATACGTGTCTTAACACCTGACAATCTTATTTGATGTGTTATGATATTATTCACTGCTCCATGCTTTGAATTTTGGAGAAAACTTAAGAGTTACCATATCAGTGTTGACGGTGTTTTATTATGGAGTGCTGGCAGCATAATTGGCATTGCTATTATGCGGAAAACACCAAGACTAGTGCAACAAATAATTTTATGAGATTATTGACTTTACAGGTGGGGGCTGGTGGCTATTACTGCCAAGATTATTTTAAGCACTTAAATTTGGAGGAAACCTTCATAGGCTTAGATATTGATTGGCCGAACCTAGCTTGACTATATGGTTCATATGGTGTGATGTCTGTTTCCCATGATTTTTTGAATAATTGCCTCCACATTTAGGTTATGAATTTATGGCCTTGGATTGAGAATAATGTCATTGTTCTTGCTACTGCTGAAACTGGTAGTGGAATCCACTACCATTTGAGTGGCCTACCACTGTCATGAACAACTGCATGCCTGGCATGTTGGTTAGAGCAAACAAGTTACTGCTAGAAGTTGGGTTTGATTGAAACTTTGTATTCTGTGGGACACATGCCAGGTGATTTTGATATAAGTTTAGTAAGTATGTATAGTGAGTGTAACCATTTTTACACCATCAATCAATTGGGTATAAATACAGAACAGAAATTACTCTGTTGTTGTCGCTTTCAATAAAATATTGTCCCATCATTTATTTAAGAATAAAATAATGTGATGAATAATGGATAGAAAGAGGTTATTTTAATTCATCAATATGTAAAATAAATTCAGTTTATCTTCCTTATGTGTCCCACATGTTAGTAACGCCCTATCTCTTTTTCATGATTGTATTGTCAATAATGAGAACTGCAGGTTCCAGATTGTGTGTAAAAATACTTCTTTTTTCCTTGTAAGAGGAGTGATGAAACGCAGAGAATTCAGCCGTTGCTGATGCTAGATTCGTCTACAAATGCATACATATCAAGGTATTTGAATTTATTTCTTACTATTTAAGGGTATACAGTTACTTAATTTGGTACATACTGATAGGAAGACTAGGCTCAGAATATATAATACCCTCTAATTAGCATACATATTAGAGCATCTTTGAATTCAATAGTTTCAAAACTTTACTTATAAACAATTTTTTCCAGTTATAAATAATTTATGAGATTCGTATTAAAATAATTATGTATTTAGGTCAATTTATAGACTTTTTCGCAAGTGTTAATTGAGATAATCCCAACTGTTTACCATGCTAGAGTTGCATTTTTTGTATTAGAAAGTTACAAGGGCAAAAGGCTTTTCATCAAATATCGTATTACAAGGTGATGCTGTTGCGTGTACATCTTCGTCAGAGTTGCTGTCTTCGAGAATTGTGATTGGACCAAGGCATGTAGCTACAACCAACCACGAAATGAAACCCCAGTTGTGACTTGCTACTTAATAGGTAAAGGAAAATTGTTCAACCATGCGATGGAAGCAGCTTAATGTGATAATGTAGCCAAATATGGGGTGACACGACATTGGTTTTGGCTTGATCAATAACACATCAGGAATTTGGGTGATGATGTAAAGTTTGGACTAGCACAAAATGAGGTTTTTGAAATGTTACGTGTGTTGGACAGGTCTCACAATCAAACTCAATAGGACAAGGATGGATAAGGTCATTAGCTGAGCGCCCTGAACACGATGTTCAATGATGGATGATGGACAATGATGAATGGACAGAGTTGATGATCCGACAGTGGACTTGTGAATCGTGACTGCAGCCATACAAACAAAGTCCTGCAACCATGTGAGGCTTTTCTGAGTTTCGTACGAATTATTTTGGGACTTTGCTGACATTTGGCCATGGACCCTTCTTTGTGATCTCAATTCCTGAGGTTCTAGGATACTTCATCTGAAAAAGATTATACAGGACCACTCAACAAAATGGGATACTCAAGGCAGATACTGCTGAACTTTAAATGTCTTTCTAATTTTGCCATCTATGCAAATTTATCACTGCTACAAGCTGAGAAACTCTGCAGGGTGATGCAGGGAAGAAAAAAAGATATATGGATTATTTACTGACACCACCAGGAAATCAAAATGATACCAGAGTTTTAAGAGATGAAGACAGTGGGTATCATTAGAAATCTGTCTCCTAACCCCACTGCTTATATAGATATAGATATCATTTCTAATATTGAGGCACGAGTCATATTTTTTTATTGAACTCTTTTTCTCTTCAACTTACTTATAAAATCACATTTAGCTTTTAACACTCGTTAATGTTGCCATCAGTTTCTCTAAAAAATTCAGATAGATATTTCTTTTTATCTGCACTAATGTACCAAGTTGATGTAAACAGATTCTGAATCCAGTAAAAAAGCCACCACTTCCATGATTGACTATTTGTTCTCCATAACAAATGAAACCATTTTATCATAAATTGGGGTATTGAGAACGAAACGGTGTTCTGGCCGTGAGAGAAAGGTTACTTTATTAACCCCTTAAAATGGCTGGAGGGTACAGTTTTTCCTGGTTGCTGCATGAGGCACTCTACTTTACACTTCAATTGGAAAATGATGAGCAACTTATGGTGTTCATATACTACTCCTTTTTAAGTTTGCTCTTATCGGTGTGTAAGGTATGTCATTTAATATCTCATAGAAGGGGGCATAAATTGAATTAATGAAGTTTTGAAAAGGGAGAGGGTGGCCCCAACGACCTCTGCAAAATCCTGCCACAATGTAAAACACTCTGGGGGCAAAGCTATATGTCTGTGCAGTGTGCACAGAACGACCATCATAAAAGCCACATGCAAAATGTACCATGCCACCCCCTCCTTGTGTGATATAACTTGGTTACATATAAATGGACAGATATGCAATTATAAAATTCTCCCATGCAGTGATGCAGTGCAACCACATTAATATGCTTACCTTGATTTGCATGCCGCGCAGATTGGATATATAATTCAATTGTAAATACATAATGTGTGGCATATATTGATCAAGACAAATATAATCAAGGTAGACGGGTAGAGCTGAAATGATCTGGTTATTAACATAATTTATGCGTTTGACAGGGTCACAATTATGAAGGAATAGTAGCACCTCGAAAGAATATAAGCAGTATGGGGTGCAGGCACATGGTGTGGTGGTTTGGGACATTTGAATTTTGATGATACGATGGAAGTTTAGAAGTGACAGAGGGAAGTAAGAAATGTTGGTGAATTGGGAGAAGAGAGGAGGAGCTATTGTGTTGCCAATTTACTATGTATTGTTACTGTAAGTGCTTCAATGAATTGTTTCCCAACTACAAAAGGTTGTTGTCCATCTATTCTCCTCTGGTCTCCAGGGGAAGTGCTTCATTCTATGTGGATTGGATTTGATTTGATTGTTGGTTGTTGCTATCTTGTTAACCAGACCTTCTTCTCTTAGATATAGATTGATAGAGAGAGAGAAAGTGTAGATGGTGGGTGTGGCATGGGTTTGGGGGGCCATGTTGGACTTCAACAAGCTCAACATTCAGTTTATTGACTGCCTAAATCTGCACTTGGGCATGCTTCTCTTCTGTCAAAATCATTATCATTATTACTTTACAAGTATGAGTTTTGGGTAGTGCCACCACAAGTTAAATATGGTGACGAACTCTGCATCAAAAAAGTTAAGGACTGATATAGAGATTTTTGGTAGTTAAATATGCTAATTGACCACCAACCTCTCAATTAATGCCTCACCAGATTAGAGACATCTTCTTATATAGTATAATCCACCCACCATGATAAAAAAGCTTCAACGCACAATTTGTCAGACAATGCTGAGCTTTGTAACGAACCAAGTACTCAGAACTTGGTGTTGGTTAGAATATTTGGTTTCCTCAGTGTGGTAAAACTCATCCCAACCACACATCCACCTTTTCAACCAACCATTTTCTGGTTTGAACTTAGATTTGTTTTTGAAAACGGGGATATGGATTGAAGATTTAAAAGTATAACCGATTCCAAATAAATTTAATAAAATAATATTTTTATAATATAATAAATTTATTAGTATAATATAAAAAATCTAAAAATAAATTGTCCAAGGAATGTGTTTTATCTTTTCGAATGTCAAATATCAATGACACCCTAATTCCCCAATTGAAAATGTGGTTATATTTTATTGACCATCCAAACAGTTAGAAGATAACTCGCAATGATATTATATAATATTATAGGATGTGATTTTGGATTATTTTAATTGCTCGGACGGTTAAATAATTATTACTTTTTATTTTAATTTTACTTTAGTTCTGGATCATATCTCAAAATATTTTTAATTTTACCTCCTATTTTGAGATATGCACGTTTGAATTTAATTATAACATCTTTCTCTATATACTTAATATTTTCTCTATTATTTTTTAAATAAAGAGAAAGTTAAATAAAACATGTTTTGATTATCATTTAATTTTACAATAATTACTTATAAAATAAATGTACATCAAAATAGAATATTCTTATCATAGTAGTTGTCATTTACAGACTAAAAGTAAATTCGATAGTAAATAAATAAAAAATGAAAAAAAAATTAAGCAATAATTCTTTTTTTCATGTATGATGGTTAAAATATAAAATATTTGATCGTACAAATCATTATCTGACGTAATATATTGTTATAAGATGATAGTTTTGAAGATAATCCAAATTCAGGGAACTAAGTAAAAAAAGAAGTCTATAATAAATTTAATGTTTTTAGTAAAACTAATAATCATCTGATATGATTTTAAGTAATAAATCTCAAATAATTTTGAAGTTATATAGATTATTTTTCTGAATATTTTCTCCTTTAAATTTTTCAAACTATTTTTTGTTTTAAAATTATAACCAAAGTACATATATTTTTAAACAAACCAAAAACGATTATTTTAGAAAAAAACAATCATTTTCTGGTTGTTTAACCCTTTTTTAAATGATAAAAAACCTTACTATATATAAATAATATAATTAACGAACAAGGTTAAAATGACATCTTCAATTTTATAAGATAAAATTAAATATCTCTTTATTTTTAAGATAATGTCAATATCAATTCTAATAATATTAAAAAATATTATCCCTTATATAACTATATTGAACAATTCATTCTCAGTATAAAATAACTCCTTTAAACACGAAACATACGATAAAAAAATTTGTTTAATATGAACGAATATGTTAAAAATCATTCCTCAGCTGATTTTATTATTAAGTTGAATTAGCTACAGTTTTCATTTCTAATATTTCATTTCACCCAATATATATAACAAGATTTTATTTACTATTTCCGTCAAAAATAAGATTCACACGATCTTGTTATAGAAAATGGTTGGACCCCTCATGGACGTTTTTTCGAAAATCTAAAAGCTAGACGAAATAATATGAAAAAAATTGTGGAAGCTCTAATGTAGCTCAGATGTGGATTGATATAATTTGAGGAATAATTTTATTTTGTTTTGGATGACACGTTTTACATCACCATCATGCATAGGTGATGATTTGCTGTCATAAGAAGAATTTATAGCTGGAACGACTATTCTTAACGCATAACAACCAAAAGTGGAACACCTTTCACAGAGACAGAGGTCCCTTGGGATCATGCAATCCATTGTAGAGATCATTCAAGGTAAATCAACCCATAAACTTAACCTATCAGTTTTCAATCATAATATGTATTCTAAATGAATTGTTTTCTTTTTCTGTTGGAAAACAAGAGAAATAAACAAATGTACAATAAAACATGTGACAGGAAGAAGTAAATTATAAAAGGTGTTAAGAAAGAGAAAATGATATTTAAATGCATGATGGCGTCATGGTTGATTGATCCTTAGGTCAAGGCGTTCTCTGCTCCTTCCTACGCATGAGCATAGCATGTGGGATCCCCAGTTCCTATTCCCCTAAAAATGCCTTTCTAGTTTCAATGCTTGTTAGCAAAAAAACTAAACAATCAGACAAAAAGAAAAAGGGTTTTGGCAAATCAGTATCTTATTATCGACTGAATAAAAAACAAAACCTCATGTAATCAGTGCCAGAACTCTTCCGCTATGTTTGATTGAACTTATTTGCGACGAAATATTATTCACGAAGACAGAAACACGACATTCACACATGTTTGGTTGAACTGATTTGCGACGAAATGCAGGCGAGGAAAAGGGGGAGATGAGAAAGAGAGTTTCTTCGCTGAGGTGCAAAGAAAAGAGATGAAAGTAATGAAAAGTCGCAGTTACCCTGTAACATATGATAGCGGTTAAATCCTAACCGTTATTATAACAGCACTTCTAATAGCAGTTAAGCCTTAACCGCTATCTAATATACACTTTAGATAGCGGTTACAGAGGAACCGCTATTATATCAAATTTCGCTCGAGCGAGATACAGTCGCTCAAGCGAAACACAACCCCAGACGCAACAAGGTTCTTAAAAGGAGCTTATAATAGCGGTTAAACCTTAACCGCTATCTAATATATACTTTAGATAGCGGTTACAGAGGAACCGCTATTATATCCTCCAATTATGATCGATCATTCAGAATCAAATTTCGCTCGAGCGAGATATAGTCGCTCAAGCGAAACACAACCCCAGATGCAACAAGGTTCTTAAAAGGAGCTTATAATAGCGGTTAAACCTTAACCGCTATCTAATATACACTTTAGATAGCGGTTATAGATGAACCGCTATTATATCCTCCAATTATGATCGATCATTTCACATTATGATCGATCAGGATCGTATTTCGCTCGAGCGAGAGTATAGTCGCTCGAGCGAAATACAACCCGAATCTTAAAAGAGTTCAAAATGTATAAGAGTATTCTCAATTTTGATGTTTAATTATATTATTAATTCTCAAAGTAGAAAATTATATTGTAATTATTTTATCTCAAGTTAATGTGATGAGACGATCATCAACATTTCAACATTCGAGTCAGATATATGGGACATCTTCGTCTCTCCCAGATTGTTC